CTCGTCGGCTCCGAGTTCTCCCTGGCCCGCCACAGCCACTCGCTACTTGGGAGGCTGAGGCAGAAGGATTGCTTGAGCCCAGGAGTTTGAGGTTGCTGTGAGCTAGGCTAACGCCAGAGCACTCACTCTAGCCTGGGCAACAAAGCGAGACTCTGTCTCAAAATAAATAAATAAATAAAATAAAATAAAATAAAATAAAATAGAGAGAAAGAGAGAGGGAGGGAGAGGGAGGGACGGAGGGAGGAAGGGGAGGGGAGAGGGAGGGGGAAGGGGGAGAAGAAAAGAAAAGAAAAAAAGAGAATTGTAGAGAAGGCTGAGAAGTAAAAAAGAAAAGAAAAAAAGAAAGTTAAAATGACTTCTAATTTCACTTATCAGAGATAAACTCAGTTGACCTTTTCTTATGCCAAGAGTGAATTTGATACACATCCTGGGAATTCAAACTTTTATCTGGTCAATTCATAAAGCCAGATGCCTTTCCAAAGATGTTATCAGTTTACTGACAGTCTATGAGGGTCCTGTACAGACACTTAAATGGATTAGGCCTGGGTCTGTAGCTCTTTGCTCTGAGGATGAAAGCATGATGGCTTCTACTTTCTATTTATCATTTTGTGAAAATAAAGGTATTTCTCTAGACTGATTTTTTTTTAATCTGACAGTTAAAGGGGCCTTGGGTATTAAACCATGAAAGGAGTCTTTGCATCTTTGGAGGAAGAGCTGAAAGGTAGTTTCTCAGACTTTAGTGAGGGCCTCGGAAAATTTTGTTCTGGATGTTGTCTGTTCTCTACAGTGTGGTGTATGGGAATCCCCTAAATCAGCAGAACCGAGGAATAACCGGGAAGAACAGAGAAAATGACTTGTCAAATTGAGATTCAGTCTTTTGAAAGTGGCAAATAGAATAGGGGTAAAAAGAATAGGGTAGAACAGATTTAGCTACTATTCTCTTTTTTTATTCTTTCCAATTAGAATGCCAATGTTACGTGGTAATCTTGCCCATGAGAAGGGATGAAATATTGAAAAATTAAATGAAACCAAGTGCTGTAGATTTCGAATGAATGAGTTTTCATTCTTATACCTTGTGCAGATCAGGGGGTTTTTTTTAGATTTTTTTTAGATTTTTATTGCTTTTGTTGCACCCTAGATCATATTGATTGATTGAATAATTGAATATATAGATGAACTAATAGACAAAAAAGAAATGATTATATAGACACAGATTATTAGACTAAATGAAAGGTTATGAAAGAGAAATGTTTCTTTAATGTTCAGTTTATTCATGGTCTAATTTTTCCTTCAAGTTTTACTAAGCAGAACTATTCTATGGTGCATATATGAGTGCTGTTGTGTCGTGTGGGATAATTGCTGATAAGAAAAGTCAATAGTTTTTGATCCATAAAGCTTATGGTTGATATGAATTTAACATAGTTATTTTTTAAAAGGTAAATCAACTTCTAATTTCTTTCTTTTAGCTATTATACCTCTAGCTACTAAAGTAAATCTGAAGTAGGCTGTAGCCCCCCCCCCCATAAGAATGTGAAGAAGAGCAGAAAACCTAAACTTTGGGCTTAAACAGTCACAATTGCCATTAGGTCCTAAATCCCGGTACATTTTCTCCACAGGGAGCGTTTCCAGCTCGTTTGAAGAAGGTGCTGATTGTGGGAGCACCCATATGGTTCAGAGTGCCCTATTCCATCATCAGTCTCCTCCTGAAGGACAAAGTCCGGGAGAGGGTAAGGCAAACCAGCCTTTTCTTACTTGGAGGTGAATAGATACATTCCCATCTCTACTGGTGAAATCCTGACAATTTTCTTTCTTTCTTTTTTTTTTTTTTTTGGACACAGAGTCTCACTTTGTTGCCCAGGCTAGAGTGCCATGGCGTCAACCAGGCTCACAGCAACCTCAAACTCCTGGGCTCAAGCAATCCTCCTGCCTCAGCCTCCCGAGTAGCTGGGACTACAGGCATGCGCCACCATGCCCGGCTAATTTTTTTCTATATATATTAGTTGGCTAATTAGTTTCTTTCTATTTATAGTAGAGATGGGGTCTCGCTCTTGCTCAGGCTGGTTTCAAACTCCTGACCTCGAGTGATCTGTCTTCCTTGGCCTCCCAGAGTGCTAGGATTAAAGGCGTGAGTCACCACGCTCGGCCTCTTGGTATTTTTTCTCAAAACAATTTGTTGCTTCCCCATTTTTTAACTATTGTCCAAAATTACCTTAATTCTATTATAATCTTTTGAATGTTCCAGGACTGAAAGATAATGTAATGGTCTCAGTCACTGATTGCAGCCCTTAAAAGATAGGGCATATAAAACATTGGCATAATAGGGTTAGATAATAAGGATTTCTTTTGAAATATTATCAGAGGTTTCTGTGGTAAGGAATTATGAAATTAAATGAATATTAATGGAGGTCTTTAGGCCGGGCGCGGTGGCTCACGGCTGTAATCCTAGTACTCTGGGGGGCCGAGGCCGGCAGATTGCTTGAGGTCAGGAGTTCGAAACCAGCCTGAGCAAGAGCTAGATCCCCATCTCTACTATAAATAGAAAGAAATTATTTGGCCAAGTAATATATATAGAAAAAATTAGCCGGGCATGGTGGCGCATGCCTGTAGTCCCAGCTACTCAAGAGGCTGAGGCAGGAGGATTGCTTGAGCCCAGGAGTTTGAGGTTGCTGTGAGCTAGGCTGACGCCATGGCACTCACTCTAGCCTGGGCAACAAAGTGATATCTGTCTCAAAAATATATATATACATAGGAAAAAAAATGGAAGTCTTTATAGCTGAGATGAATTGGGTTGGAGAGGGGAAGTGAAGACATTTGGTTCTGTGGAAGCTACTCCAAGACTTTATGACTCAGGTCATCCTTCCTAAGATAACTCTGAGAGACTCCCTAGGCTAATTCTTGTACTTGAATTATAGGAATTATATATGCATATATAAACTGAAACTATATTAAGCTTCTTTTACAGTCCAGAGAATTAAAACTGAAGTGAGACAGACCTTACTCTCGAGGAGTTGATGGTCCTGGTAGAGAACAGATAAACATGTTAGAGGACTTCAGCTCTACAAGAACACACAGGAAGGATCATATTGCCTCAGACAGTCAGAAAGGGCCTCACAGAAGAGGTGAGCATGTGCTGGTCCTTGAAGAGTTAGAGGAAGAAAAGAGGGCATTCCAGGAAGAGGCAATAGCAAGAGAGACAGCTTTTAGGAAGAACAGCATTCCCATTCCGCAGAGAGTCTCAGGAGGAGAACTCACTAGGCTAATTTGTTCCAGTATGGCTATATCTAACCAGAAAAAAGAATTAAGTGTTAAGATTATTTACGTAACATTTTTCCTGGGTTACCCTGCCTCTGGGTGGCTTGCTTTCATAGGAACCTATCTTCGGTGAACACCCATACCAAGTTGTGAGTAAAACACAAGCTAACAGGCCTAGAATTGGCTGCCTTAGTATGAGGTTGAAAAATATAACGACTACCTATGCATTCTTTTTTCTTTTTTCTTAGAAACAATTTAAAGATGGAATATGCATTCTTAATGCTAAAAAAATATATATATATATACAGTACCAGCATAAGATGGTACTGGGAAGTTTTGTTAATAGCCTAAAGCCTTTGTTCACTATACTGTCCTTTCAGAAGGTATATAACAAGGCTCCTAATGCCAAGAATGAATTTGATACACATCCTGGGAATTCAAACTTTTATCTGGTAAATTCGTAGGACTTCAGTCCCAGGCAGATGAAATGTAGTCTACTTCTTTTATAGGCATACCTAGTATTTCAAGCAAATCTCATTTCCCAAACCTAACATACGCAGACTTATTCTTTATATTCCCTCTCTGTAAGCCTTTCTTCCATCACATATTCACACCATTCTTTCTGGCCTTTCAGATTCAGATATTAAAGACATCTGAGGTCACCCAGCACCTGCCCAGGGAGTGCCTTCCAGAAAACCTGGGTGGATATGTCAAAATTGACCTCGCCACTTGGAATTTCCAGTTCCTACCCCAGGTGAACGGCCACCCAGATCCCTTCGATGAGATCATCCAGTTCTCCCTCCCTCCTGCTTTAGATGGGGACTCGGTACATGTTCCAGGTCCCCATGCCATGACCATCCAAGAGTTGGTGGACTATGTTAACACCAGGCAAAAGCAGGGCATATATGAGGAGTATGAAGACATCCGTCGTGAGAACCCCGTTGGCACTTTCCATTGTTCCATGTAAGTAGGAAAGGTTTGGGCCAACAGTTGTTTATCAAGATGCTTCTGGCAGGCACTGGCAACAGGCTCTTTCTTGTGTTAAGGAGCATCTTTCTCACTTAAATTACGGTTTCTGTCTTCTAGAGAGAGAAGCTCTGAAATTTATGAATGTCTTTGGTACCAACAGAGAAACCCTGTTAGACATATTTGGGGATATTTTCCTGAAATGCAAGTTAATAAAAAAAAGGAGGCTCTAAATGGACTGCTCACTATGCCTGTCTTTAGTGTGAGTGCTGATCTGTTCGTTTGGACGGTTTCTCCCTAAAGCACTTATACTATAATGTTAACTCTTGAGGGGTTCCTGGTGCAATTAAAATAATACATAGTAAGAGAGAAAAAGTTGCCTCTTAGGAATTCAAAGCCTTCTGAATCCTACCCCAAAACCATCTGGCTAGTTTATAACTCTGATTCATAACTACTTAGTAACTATTGTTGGCAATAGAGCATAGATCATTTCTGTCACTATGTTTTAATTGGCTATAGCAGAAATCTTTTGTCTAACTAGTGAGCTCTGTCTGTTGAACATTGAGGAAGCTGTCCCAGTGAGTCCCAAGTGCAAGTTCCAACTTAGCCCAAAATCCCCTTTCTGAGAACACAAGTTATTTCCCTTACTGGCACTGCAGTTTTCCTGTGTGTAATATGTGACTGTTGGACTGTGGTGTTCACCTACCTTAGTACTTAAATGTTTTAGGAATCCGTGGTGCTGTGTGAGTCCCTCTTCTCTCTCATCATTCCTGTCCAGCTTTGTCAGTGTATTCAGAAGATGATGCAGGGAGAGAATCTTTAAGGAAAGAGTGAAAAGACTAAACCGAGCTAAGAGAGAAGACGCGATTGGAAAGAAACCAATAAGCAGAGCAAGAACGCAAAGGAAAGAAAGTGGAGAAAAAAGGAAAGCAGACAATATATCAAGAAGAGGGAGTATTCTTTTCTCCCACACAGCTCTGTCTCTTACCTACCAGCTCCAGACCCTGTTTACATCCATTCTCTTTCCCAACCAGAGCAGCCTGCCTCCCGCAGGCGTGAATCAGAGAAGTGCCTTAGAGCAAGGAGGAGTGCTGGTCTGATCCAGGAAGGTGTACACTCATCCTGGGGATTCCTCACCTTGCTTCTGCATGTACCCTCTGCTGTGAGGTCCTTGAGATCCCATTTCCTCTGTGGGCCCTCAGTCCCCCCATTACAAATGTAGGTTTAGATTGTCCTCTTGGCATTATCCAAACTAGCTGTCATGCAACAGTCAGAGAACATCTCACAGTCCAATGACAGACTTCCCAGTCTTGCCTTTTTATTGAATGATTAAGCCCTACTTCATGACCTAGAACCCAGAATTCCATCAGCTCCAAGCCTCTGCCTTATATAAAGTCCCAGTAGAACTGCCTCCCTTAATTCTTTGTTTTTCTTTCACTTTTTTTTTTTTTTTTTCCGCCCGCTCTGTCATCTAGGCTAGAGTGTAGTGTCATCATCATAGCTCACTGTAGCCTCAAACTCCTGGGTTCAATTGATCCTCCTGCCTCAGCCTCCTGAGTAATTGAAACTAAGGGCGTGCACCACCCCATCAGGCTATTTTGTCTATTTTTCGTAGAGACAGGGTCTCACCCTTGCTTAGGCTGGTCTTGAACTTGGCCTCAAGTGATGCTCCCTCCTTGGCCTGCCAAAGTGCTAGAATTACAGGTGTGACCAATCCTAGTTATTATCTTTTTACATTTTTAATTTTTATCTTTTATTTTCCTTCTTTGCTTCATAAATGTATGACTTGACCCAGTAGATTTAGCTACGTGAAATAAACTATCTCCTTTGGAATTCTGGATTATAAAGTAGATGTTAGAGTATTCACCATTCCTGAGGATTCCCATGGACCAAGAGACTTTCTAGCTGTAACTAGTGAAAGAGACCTTTTCCTTTTTTTTTTTTGTTTTCTTTTTTCTTTTTTGGAGACCGGGTCTTGCTTTGTTACTTGGACATGAGGGCAGTGGCATGATTATAGCTCACTGCAGCCTCAATCTCCTGGGTTCAAGTGATCCTCCTGCTTCAGCCTCCCTAGTAGCTGGGACTACAGGCACATGCCACCATGCCTGGCTAATCTTTCTATGTTTTTGTAGAGATGGGGTCTTGCTGTGTTGATCAGGCTGTTCTTGAACTCCTGACCTCAAGTGGTTCTCCTGTCTCAGCCTCAGTCCAGTCTGGTGATAGGAACATAGTTGTTTGTTGTGTCATACTCTGTACTTTCTGTATCTTAAAAAATTCCCCCCTTCGCATACAAAAAGGCAAGGCTGATTTTTTTTACAAAGTTGCAAAGACAGTTCAATGGTAAAGGTACTCTTTTCAACAAATTATGCTAGAGCAACTAGGCATCCATAGGCAATTAAATGAACATCAACCTAAACCTTATAAAAATTAATTCAAAATGGATTACAGGCTGGGCCTGTGGTAGGTCTGAGCTACTTGGGAAGCTGAAGTGGGAGGATCACTTGGGCTCAGGAGTTCTGGGCTGTAGTGTGCTATGCCAATTAAGTTTGGCATCAGTATGGTGGCCTCCTAGAAATGGGGGACTAGCAGGATTAGTGCTAGGATTACAGTGTGAGCCACCACGCCTGGCCTCTCTTCTAACTTTTCATTATGAGCTAATTGTAGATTCACATGTAGTTTTAAGAAATATACAGACAGATCACATGCATGCACCCTTTGCAGTTCCCCATGGTGACATCTTCCAGAACTGTAACATATCACAACCAGGATGTTGACGTTGATACACTTTACCGGTCTTATTCAGATTTCCCTAGTTTTATTTTGTGTTTGTGTATTTATTTCTTACATCACACATTTAGGTTTGTGTATCTGTCACCATAGTCAAAATACAAAGAGTTCCATTACCACAGAGCTCCCTTTTGTTGTCCTTTAATAAATAAACATACACCTCCCAATCCCTAACCCCTGCAACCACTAATCTGTTATCCATTACTATAATATTCTCCTTTCCAGAATTTTGTTACATAAATGAATTCATACTGTGTATAATCTTTTGGGATTTCTTTTTTTCACTAGGCATCATTCTCTGGAGCTTCATCTAAGTCGCATGTATCAATAGTTGGTTCCTTTTCATTGCTCGGTAGTATTCCATGGTTTGGGTGTACCAGTTTGTTTAATCATTCCCCTGTTGAGGGACATCTGTGTTGTTTCCAGTTTCTGGCTATTACAGGTAAAGCTGATATGAATGTTTATGTGTAGATTTGTATGAACATAAATTTCCCTTTCACTGGGATAAGTGCTTAGGGGTGTAATTGATAGGTCATGTGGTAATGGTGCAGTTAGTTTTTATAAGAAACTGCCTAACTGCTTTCCAGAGTGGGTATACCATTCTACATTCCTACCAGCAATGGGTGAGCAATCCAGTTTCTTTGCATCCTCACCAGCATTTGGTCATGTCACTATTTTTTACTTTGGCTATTTTGATAGATGTGTAATGAGATCTCTTGGTGATTTTAATTTACATTTCATGTGCTTATTTGCCATCTATATATCCTCTTTGTAAAATGCCTTTTTATGTCTTTTGCCCTATTTTTAAAACTATTCACATTTGCAGGTTCTTTATATATTCTAGATATTGGTTCTTTGTTGGATTTGTGGTTTGCAAATATTTTCTTTCAGTCTGTAGCTTGGTGTTTTTATCTTCTTTTTTTTTTTTTTTTTTTTGAGACAGAGTCTCACTTTGTTGTCCAGGCTAGAGTGAGTGCCATGGCGTCAGCCTAGCTCACAGCAACCTCAAACTCCTGGGCTTGAGTGATCCTTCTGCCTCAGCCTCCCGAGTAGCTGGGACTACAGGCATGCGCCACCATGCCCGGCTAATTTTTTTTTTTTTTTATATATATATCAGTTGGCCAATTAATTTCTTTCTATTTCTAGTAGAGACGGGGTCTCGCTCTTGCTCAGGCTGGTTTCGAACTCCTGACCTTGAGCAATCCAACTGCCTTGGCCTCCCAGAGTGCTAGGATTACAGGCGTGAGCCACCGCGCCCGGCCAAGCTTATTGTTGATGTATGCCACATGACAAAATTCTTTTATCTGGTGCTGTTAAGTTTCTCTAGAGAAGAGTTCTGTCTATTGCCTAGTGGGATCCAGCTTGCAGAAGAGTATAGGAAATGATAGGGCGGATGGGGCAAGGATTCTCACTGTTTATCTTTTGGGTTTTCATGCGTTTCCTTGTTTTTAGCTCTCTGCCTCACCTTGCCTTCCATCAAAGGTGTAGGACTAAGTCATTTTGTCTCTCTGTAGGACCTTCCTAGGTCCTAGCTTCCCACATTTGGCCAAATCAGCCAAAATCTTCCCATCTTCTTTCTGTCTTCCAAATTGGGTTGAAATCTCTGTCTGTAGATGTCTCCACTGCCATTTTTTGGGTTTGTACCAAATAGTTCCTTTATTGTCATTTTAGTTAGGCTATTTGGTAGATGGAGTGGCATTGACATGTGTTGTCATCCTACCATATTAAACTGGAATTTAAGAGATTTGGTTTGAGCATCTTTTATAAATGAGTAGTAGAAATTTTTATCTGTAGCTAGATATTTGGGGAATATACCCTATTTTTCTTTCCCTCCCTCTCTTTCTCTTTTTTTCAAACATACTCCTCACTTCTGTCTGAGATCTCATCAGAATGGCCTTTACCATCCATATTTCTACCAATGTTCTGATCATGATCACTTAGGTAATCCCTAATAAAATTAAGCCTTTCTCTATAGCTCTTCTTTTCTGATATCTTACCAGAATTGCCCTTTATTCTCTGTTCATGGCAATGGAGGCCTTTTTCTAGCATGCATCTCCAAATTCTTTCAGTCTCTTCCCCATGACCCATTTCCAAAGCTGCTTCCACATTTTCAGGTATCTGTTATAGCTGCACTTCACTTCTCAGTGACAATTTCTGTCTTAGTCCATTGTGGACTCCCTCTCTCTTTTGAGTGGAAATATATTTATTTCAAGTAGTATATATTATCATAAAAAGCATTAAATGATATGAAACTGTAGACTAGAGAGTGAAAGACTCCCTTGTCACCATCCCCAATAGTAATTGACACCTACCTTTACATTGTCCGACTTTGAACATATACATTGCCTCCACTTCTTCTTTATTCTAGCTTGTTTGTCTCATTTTCTTCAGGTCTCCAGGAAACCTAGAGAAGAACCGTTACGGGGATGTACCCTGCCTGGACCAAACTAGGGTGAAGCTGACAAAGCGAAGTGGCCATACTCAGGTAGACAGATAAATGCTATCTTTTTAGGAGTACTGAGGGAATTGCGCTTCTTCCAAAGTAGAGCTTTAATTCTATAGTGGAGTGAAAATGGACTCTAAAGCCAGGGAGATAAGATTCGAATTCACATTTTGCTACATACTAGTAGCAAAATGTAATCATAGGCAAGTTCCTAAATGCCCATCTCACAGTACTGCGAGGATATTAAGTAAAATTCTTTATGTGAATGCTGATAGTACAAGGTCTGATATTTTATAGGTGCTTGATAAATGTTTAATTATTTTTTATTTTACTCCATAGTTGTAAAGTCATGGTCATATAGTCCAATTCAGTTGGTGAGTGTATTGTATATTTTGTATTGATGCAAGGCAACTTTGATTATAAGTGACCTCTTATTTTTCTATGTAGGTCTGAAAAATATTATAGACAGCCAGTTTTTACATAATGTAAAAAATGTCTAGGGATTGAGATGAAACAAATGACTATATTATTTAATGCATTCATTTGATATCTATACATATTACTAATCACAGGCTGGGCAATGCGGCTCATGCCTTTAATCCCAGCACTTTGGAGGCCAAGGTGAGAGGATCACTTGAGGCCAGGAGTTCAAGACCAGCCTGGGTAACATAGTGAGACCTAATCTTTACAAAAAACAAGAAAAATTAGCTGGGCATGATGGTATATGTCTGTAGTCCCAGCTAGTTGGAAGGCTGAAGCAGGACAGTTGCTTGAGCCCAGGAGTTTGAGGCTGCAGTGAGCTGTGATCTTGCCATTGCACTCCAGCCTGGGTGACAGAGCAAGACCATGTCTTTAAAAAGAAAATTATTTAATCTCTTCACATGTACCTTTAACATGGGAGTCTTTGTTGTCATTTGAGCACTTTTTGTCAATCTAACATGGTTTTCCAAAGTACAGCATTTTTATTTCCTCTTAAGTGTATGGTATTCTCACTGGAAAGTTTATCCTAAATCAGAAAAATCTATTAGGATAACATTAGGACAGGTGTTTCTCATTCGCCTTGCATCTCATGCATCATCTATAATTGATCATTCACTTACTCCTTTTTTAAAATCCTCTTTAATATAATTTGTTTACAGCAACATCCAACTTTAGAATTTTGAGACATAGTCTCGCTTTGTTGCCCAGGCTAGAGTGAGTGCTGTGGCATCAGCCTAGCTCACAGCAACCTCAGACTCCTGGGCTCAAGTGATCCTCCTGCCTCAGCCTCCCGAGTAGCTGGGACTACAAGCATGTGCCACCATGCACGGCTAATTTTTTCTATATATATTAGTTGGCCAATTAATTTCTTTCTATTTATAGTAGAGATGGGGTCTCACTGTTGCTCAGGCTGGTTTCGAACTCCTGACCTCGAGCAATCCACCGGCCTCGGGCTCCCAGAGTGCTGGGATTACAGGTGTGAGCCACCGCGCGCAGCCCAACTTTAGAATTTTGAAATGAGTTACTGAATAGGTATTATATTTCTTTTTTTCCCCTTTCTGATACACATATTTTATCTAGTGATCTCTGTAAGCATCCAAAAAAAAAAAGGCATTGTTTGAGGTTGCTGGTCAAAGTAAAGGAATTTAAATAGTGCCCCTTTAACATGATAAGGACAACTTATATCACCCCCCTCTTTTTCCCGGAGATAATTTTTAGAAAAATCATTGTCTTGCATTTGGGCATACATGCTATGTGGATTAGGACCTGATAATTATGTTTTACTCTCTCTTGACCCTATTGTTTTAAGCACATAAACTGAATTCACAGCCCTTTTCAGAACTCTTGCAGAGAGTTTTCCTACAGGATCATTAGCTAAAAGTCTGGCTCACTTGAGGGTAAATTCATGGTACTGCTAAGATTGTCATAGTATATGTTCTAAAGGACGGAGTACAATGGTTCAGCTGAGGCTCTGGAGTCAGAGATAGCTGTATTTCTCTATTTTGTTGCCTTCTCTATCTCTAGTACCTAGAGTGGTGCCTGGCACATATTAGACATTCAGGAAATATTTGTGAATGAGCGAATCTCAGTGTGCCTGGACACCATTCTAGTCACTCTTTGGTTAATCTAAAGATCATTTCCTGATTTGTAGTCTCTTTCATTACTATAGACATTGTCAGAGGCTCTTTGTTTTGTTTTAGTTTTGGTTTTTTTGACATTAAGTTACTATTTTTTTTGAGACAGGATCTCAATCTGTCACCTAGTTTGGAGTGTAGTAGTGCCATCATAGCTCACTACAGCCCCCAACTCCTGGGCTCAAGATCAGTCCTCATGCCTCAGCCTTCCAAGTATCTAGGACTAAAGGTGTGCACTAGCATACCTGGCTAATGTGTAACAATTTTTTTTGTAGAGACAGGGTCTCACTATGTTGCCTACGCTAGTCTTGAACTCCTGGCTTGAAGCAATCCTATTGCCTTGGCCTACCCAAAGTGCTGAGATTACAGGTGTGAGTGACCATGCCAGGTCCAACATTAAATTATTTATTTAACTTCAGGGACATGATACTTTTGTGGTATTTCTATCTTTGGGGCTATTCTTTCTTATTTTGTTTCTTAACTTTTATTTATTTTAATTGACAAAATTTTATGTATTTATGATATAATGCTTTGAAATATGTATACATTATGGAATGCCTAAATCAAGCCAGTTGTATGTATTACCTCACAAACCTTTTGTGTGTGTGTGGCAAAACACTTAAAATCTATTCTCTTTGCAATTTTCAAATATATAATACATTGTTATTTGGAATATTCAGGTTTATTAGTGAATTGGTTACTTGATTTGCTCCTGGAATTTTAAAGTTGTTAGTTGCAGTTTCTGTTTGGGCTACTATAACAAAAATATCATAGACTGGGCAGCTTATAAACAATAGAAATTTATTTCTCACTGTTTTGGAGGTTGAGAAGTCCAAGATCGAGGTGCTGGCAGAATCGTGTCTGGTGAGGGCCATTTTCCTGGTTCATAGACCTCCATCTATCATTGCATCCTCACTTGGAGGAAGCAGCAAGGGAGCTCTTTGGAACTCTTCTTTTTTATAAGGGTGCTAATCCATTTGTCTTCCTGGTCTCCATGACCTAATCACCTATCAAAGGTCCCAGCTCCTAATACCATCACATTGGGAGTTGGGATTTCTACATATAAAGGAGAGGGACAGGACACAAACATTCAGTCTATGGTGATGGTCCATAACATAGTGCCCTTGGTTTGGTTCTTTCTACTATTTCAGTTCCTCAAAGTCCACAAGTCTATGCTTTGTCTCTTAAGTCATTTTTCACTTTAATTTCCTATGATTCTTCTGAAATTGTTCATTTCAGACAAGGATGCTGAAAGCTGATATGTCCTTAGTTACTAACATAATGAAATAATAAGTCATCTTGAAAGAGGTGACATTTCAAAGCATGAAGATAACTCCTGGGGTAACAGCTTATATATCACTTTCATAATAGTGTTGATTGGCATATATCAGGTAAATCTTTTATACTTTTCTATCCTTCTCCCTTGGGTCCTAGAGGATATATCACTTGTCTGTGCCAGGCTGAATAGAGGATGGGTTTTGGCTGACTGTGGTGGGCCCTGGATTTGGAAGCTTGGTTGGGAGTGAGGCTTTTAGCATGCTGGGTCTCCTGCATGTGGTCTATTAGTTCAGTGAAATTGTTTGAATTAGGATAGAACATAGTAGTATGAGGTCAATACTAGCTGCTGTTGGAAGAGAAAACTCTCAACTAATTACTCCACTATTTATTTTGTCAAAATAAAAGTTTCCAAGTTGGAGAGGGGCTGTGGGGTATTGACAGTTCAAACTGCCCTTTAAGTGATAGGACCCACTGGAGAAAGGGTGCCAGGGCTGAGGAAGGAATCAGTCTGACCTCTCTATAGTGAAGAAGTAGAGTATGAATTGTCCCTAGTTTGCTACTGAATCTTTTTTTCTTTTGTCTTTCTATAACCTTCCATTGCCTCCTCTGTCCATTCTACTGCCTCTGTCCATTCAACTCCCAACTATTAATAGTTGTATTATGACTTGAAACTGTAGCTGCATCAGTGTTTCTTTTTTTCTTTCTCTTTTTTGAGACAATCTCGCTCTGCTGCCCAGGCAAGAGTGCAGTGGTGTCGTCATAGCTCACTGCAACCTCCAACTTCTGGGCACAAGCGATCTTTCTGCCTCAGAAAGATATAGCTGGGTCTATATAGATCCTTGCCACCAGGCCTGGCTGATTTCTTCTATTTTTAGTAGCGTTTTTCTGCCTTGACTCCCAGAATGAGGATTATCAGCGTGAGCCAACCTCACCTGGTTTCAGTGTTTCTCTTTTATCAACCTGGATTAAAGGATGTTGGCAGAGATCTTGTGAGTAGGTATAATAAAAAAAATGATGTTGAAGTACATAAGATTGAGGACATTAGGAGATGGGAGAAATATCTGGAAGATAGGGAGTTAGGAACTGTTCATTGAGACTCCTTTGAATTTGGCTGGAAGTTGCTTTGTATTCAGGTAGCGATGGAGTCTAGGTGTTTGGCCCCATTGTGGGTCCTGGGTATGAGATACAGCTTTCTTCCATCTACATTCACACTGTGCCTTTTGTGTGTGGCAGGATGGACAGGATGGATATTCCTACTCAGGTTACTTGGCTTTGCCTCTTATTTGGTCCTATGCTATGGTGCTCCAGCTCCTAATGGACCCTTTTTTTTTTTATAAATAACAACTTTATTAAGATTTAATTCATCCATTTAAAGTATACATGTCAATGGTTTTTAATATATTTACAGAGTTGTGCAACCATCACCATAATCAACTCAACCCCCCAACTCCCAGAAAGAGTCTTGCTTCTGTCACACAGGCTAGAGTACAGTGGCACAATCATAGCTCACTGTAACCTCAAACTCCTGGGCTCAGGCAGTCCTCCTGCCTCAACCTCCCAAAGTGCTTGGATTACAGGTGTGAGCCACCATGACCAGCTACCTTTTACCCATTTTTAAATTGGCTTATTTATCTTTTTATTATTGAGTTG